GTATTTGTGAGTTATTCAAAGCCCGGTTTGATTAAAAGCGTTGCAACACTTCAATTTGGGGTCATTTTACACAAGGAAAATAATTATTATGAAAAAAGGAGTAAGCAGATGATATGAAATTTTGCAAATAAGTCATTGATATAGACCTTCATCAAACAGTACATTATTTTAAAAAAAAAATTCAATCCAGTCATGTCAAAAGACATCAGTGCGTAAACTTTGAAAAATTTTACGGCAAAAGATTTGCAATATTTATTGCAAGTTGTGACATTTAGTAGCAATGATGCGACATTTGGCGACAATGATGAGGCATTTGTTGGCAAGTGCGACATTTAGCAGTATCGAGACATTGAATGCGAGCGATTAAGAGCCAAAATGGTCCTCCTGTTAATTACATTTTGTTTGTCAAAATTAAGAATAAAGGTTGCAAAACTATTACAACTATCAACAATAACGAAACATTTGATTATCGTGACAAGGAAAAGTTGTGAGGCATTGGAAATACTTCAATAATGGCAACAATTCTGCCTTTTCCGCTTGGAATATTGATGAAAATTTGTTATTGACAGACAAGTACGAAATAACATAAGCCCGTTATAGTATCGAATGAAATAAAATATAAAATGAAAAGGCGTTATAACGTGAATCAAAAGACGTAATTACGAAAGGCGTAAAAACGCGAAAAAAGGCGTGGCAACGCAAATACAGGTGTAGGAACGCAAAATCAAAGGTGTAGTTACACAAAACAAAAGGCCTAATAAAGGCGTTTTAAAGCGAAAAACTGCGTAACAACGCGGATCAAGAGGCATAATCACTTATTGGTCAATTGGGGCGGATGTAAATGCAGTTACTCTGAATTCTCATAATGGATTTTACATATGTCGCTATCACAATAGTAAATACATTCTTATTTTATCTTTTATCTTATCTTACCTTATTTTATTTTATATTTTATTTTATATATGCGTAACGTGTTCAATTATCTACGGATATGTGCTGTATAATTATCTACGCCTTTTGTTTCGCGTCATTACTACTTTTTTGCGTTATTTAGAGGTTAATACTTGGTTGCTGCTCGCCATTATGCGATAATGGTGCGAAGATGTGAATAATGGCCTGAGGGCCGCAGGTCCGAAGGACAATATGGACTCGAGGGCCATTATCGCACAATGGCGAGCAGCAACCAAGTATTAACGTATTAACAGTTTTCAATGTAAACAAATATCAGTCATTTCAGTTTAGTCCTCAGATTAACTTTGAAAGACTGACAAAACAAAATATATATGTTGTTTTACTTGTTGTTTATATTTAGAGGTTAATACTTGGTTGCTGCTCGGCATTATGCGATAATCGTCCGAAGATGTGCATAATGGCCTGAGTAAATAAATAATAAATATGAGACAATGCTGTTTTATTGTTGTTTATATCTATAAATACTCTATATATTTTTTGTGAGAATAACATTAGGTGCCAGTTTTTTATCAACATTTGTGCCTTCAAGAACGGTTTCCGAGACTGATGTCTAGCTCTATTTGCCATCTATTTGATCTTTTTTTCTACCGTCAAAATGAAATCATTTTTGGAGGTTCTGAGCGTCATGTTTTGTCTTGGGTAGAGTTATTGTATTCTTTTTTTAGTTTATAAATCTTCAATGTTAAGCTTTGTTGATTTGTTGGTTTAGTCATTTAAACTTGAGTCACTCAGAGATAATAACGTCATTTTGCACGTGCGCCTATTATTGAAAAATAATGCCGAGTAGCAAGGCGGCCGAAATTGCATAATGACCTAGATCTTGTCATAATGGCCCTGAGAAACCCTAGATTGTGTTACTATTTATAGTAACATAGGTATTAATGATATATACATCAATATATATTTTTTGTAACAATAACATTTGGTGTCAGTTTTTCTGATTTTTTGTGCCCTCAGAACGCTTTCTGAGACTGACTAATGATGTAATCGATCCGATCTTTTTTCTACTTTCAAAATGAAATCATTTTAGGAAATTTCTGAGGGTCATGTTTTGTCTTGGGTAGAGTTATTGTATTATTTTCTTGAGTTTAAAAATCTTCAATTTTATGCTTTTATTATTATTTTTGTCATTGTGAGCAAGTGACTACAGTTCATTCAACGTCATCAGCCATCTTGAAAGTCACTGAGAGTTGATTACGTCATTTTGCACGAGCGCTTATTCACTCGCCCATTATGGAAAAATGATGCCGAGTAGCGGCCTAAATTGCATAATGACCTAGATCTTGCCATAATGGCCTTAAAATACCATAGATTTTGTTACTATTTATAGTAACATAGGTATTAAAACGTCTTTATTCGCGTTACTACTATTGCACCTTTTGATTCGCGTTATAAAGCTTTACCAACATTTTATTATACCCCCAAAACGAAGTTTGGGGGTGTATATAGGAGTCACCCGGTGGTCGGTCGGTTGGTCGGTCGGTTGGTCGGTCGGTCGGTCGGTCGGTCGGTCGGTCGGTCGGTCGGTTGGTCGGTCGGTCGGTCGGTCGGTCGGTCCAGCGGTCCGTTGCATTTTCCTTTTCCGGAGCATAACTTGAAGACTAATGGTTGGAATTCAATATAACTTCATACAATTGTCAAGCACATTGAGAGGAAGTGCAGTGCACAAGAACCATAACTCCATCTTGACTATTTACAGAGTTATTGCCCTTTGTTACTTTTCCTTGTCCGGAGCATAACTTGAAAACTACTGGTTAAAACTCGAAATAACTTCATACAATTGTCAAGCACAATAAGGGGAAGTGCAGTGCGCAAGAACCATAACTCTATCTAAAGTAATAACAGAGTTATTGCCCTTTGTTATTTTTCCATTGCTTTCTTTTGTCCGGACTATAACTTGAAGACTAATAGTTGGAATTCAATATAACTTCATACAATGGTTAAGCACATTGAGAGGAAGTGCAGTGTACAAGAACCATAACTCCATTTTGACTAATTACAGAGTTACTGCCCTTTGTTACTTTTCCTTGTCCGGAGCATAATTTGAAAACTACTGGTTGAAACTCGAAACAACTTCATACAATTGTCAAGCACAATAAGGGGAAGTGCAGTGCAAAAGAACCATAACTCTATCTAAAGTAATTACAGAGTTATTGCCCTTTGTTATTTTTCCATTGCTTTCTTTTGTCCGGACTCAAACTTGAAGACTAATTGTTGGAATTCAATATAACTTCATACAATGGTCAAGCACATTGAGAGGAAGTGCAGTGCATGAGAACCACAACTCCATTTTGACTAATTACAGAGTTACTGCCCTTTGTTACTTTTCCTTGTCCGGAGCATAATTTGAAAACTACTGGTTGGAATTCAAAACAACTTCATACAATGGCCAAGCACAATAAGGGGAAGTGCCATGCACAAGAACCATAACTCCATTTTGACTAATTACAGAGTTATTGCCCTTTGTTACTTTTCGATTGCTTTTTTTTTTGTCTGGAGCATAACTTGAAGACTACTAGTTGGAATTCAATATAAATTCATACAATGGTCAAGCACATTGAGAGGAAGTGCAGTGCATGAGAACCATAACTCCATCTTGACTAATTTCAGAGTTATTGCCCTTTGTTACTTTTCCTTGTCTGGAGCATAACTTGAAAACTACTGGTTGGAATTCAATACAACTTCATGCAGTTGTCAAGCACATTAAGAGGAAATGCAGTGCACAAGAATTATAACTCCATTTGACAAATTACAGAGTCATTGCCCTTTGATACTTTTCCTTGTCTGGAGCATAACTTAAAACATACTTGTTGGAATTTAAAACAACTTCATACAATGGTCAAGCACAATAAGAGAAAGTGCAGTGCACAAGAATTAAACTCCATTTTGAATAATTACAGAGTTACTGCCCTTTGTTACTTTTCCTTGTCCAAAGCATAACTTGAAAACTACTAGTTTGAATTCAAAACTATTTCATACTATGGTCAAGTATATTGAGAGGAAGTGCAGTGCACAGAAAGCATAACTCTTTTTGACTAATTTAAAAGTTGTTGCCCTTTGTTACTTTTTATTGTCCAGTGCATAACTTGAAAATTAATGGTTGGAATTCAATGAAACTTTATACAATGGTCAAGGGCAGTGAGATGAAGTGCAGTGCACAAGAACAATAACTCTATTTGGACTAATTACAGTTATTGCTTTTGTTACTTTTTTGTCCAGTGCATAACTTGAAAACTAGTAGTTGGAATTCAATACAACTTCATACAATGGTCAAGTGCAATGAGAGGAAGTGCAGTGTACAATAGCCATAACTCAATCTTCAGTATTTATAGAGTTATTGCCCTTTGTTCCTTTTCCTTGTCTTTCTGGACTTCTTACAGAGTAATCCAATAAAACTTCATCAATGGCCAACCACATTGAAAGGAAATGCAACATACAAGAACCACAACTATCTGTAATTGCCCACAACCATAACTCTGTTTCAATTCTTTACAAGGTATTCTGTTACTAGTAACATCCTCATTTCCGAAGCAGTCTTGCGGGGGGTATTAATCACATTTAGTGATAGTTCTAGTTTCATTTTATTTGATACTATATGGCTATCGTACGCATGTAATTTTGACTTGTATTTGACACTTTTTTCCGCATGATTATTGTATTTTAAACGTTGTGTTTGCCAATGTGACTCATTACGAGCAAAATAAAATTTTCGGAATATTTCGTGTCTTTATGGGCATATACAACGAGAAAATACTTCAAATTCAAATAATATAGCATTTTCATTTTTGTCACATTTTGTTATCATATTTTTACCTTGAACACTTATACATGCAAATTATGTAAAATGATGATTAATAATATGCTTAACTGTGTCATACCATGAAAATCATGCTCTGTTTCGCTACGATATTATTTCATGCTGTTTTTTATTTGTTCAAAATGGTGGCGTTCACTGGCCTTACACTGTGTAACATAAAGTCCAACTTGTCACATAGATAAAACAGTATTGTGCTTGTTTTCAAGTGATATCATAAATATTATAATTGTCATGTAAGCGTACTATCAGCACCCACTCACAAATCGCTGATAAAAGTTCGAGAAGTGTGTCTTTTTAATAATATGTAACCGAGTCATCATTATTACTGTACACAAGAAATTTCGTCTAGTTCTTATATTTTGTATTTAATTAAACATAATATTGGATATCTTTTACACTAATAGACATACAGGCCAATGGCACTCATAATTTTTTTAAGTACCATCAAAGTGTTTAGCCGCGATTTGTAGTTCTTGTGTGCCTTGGACTTTGACAGGAAAAAAATAATGGTATGTATTCCTAGGATAAATATCATATTCATTTCATTTCTCATATAATTACCATGTAACATCGGAAGTTTTTTTAATGCCAATGCTTAACCTAAAATTTTAAGTTTGATTGTTTTACCATTGTTTTATCTTGTTCGTTATTTAGAGGTCAATACTTGGTTTCTGCTCGCAATTATGCGATAATGGCCCGAAGATATGCATAATTAGGGCCATTATCGCAAAATGGCGAGCAGCAACCAAGTATGAACGTCTTTAATACCTATTACCGAAATACGGCGTGGCCCTTTCTAAGAAACGGACAAATATTTGTCATACTGTACGGAATAAATATAAGAAAATGTTGTTTTATTGTTGTTTTTATCGATAAATACAGAATCTTACCCTTCAAAATTTTTGTGAGAAATTCATGTCATTTAAACTTTAAAAAATTGTGTGTGCAAGTGACTACTGTTCATTCAACGTCAGCAGCCATCTTGAAAGTCACTGAGAGTTAATGACGTCATTTTGCATGTGCGCTAATTCACTCTCCCATTATGGAAAAATAATGCCGAGTAGCAAGGCGGCCAAAATTGCATAATGACCTATATCTTGCCATAATGGCCCTGAAATGCCCTAGTTTCTGTTACTAAATATAGTAACATAGGTATTAATTCTTTTTTATTTTGGTTCTTTAACTTTATAATTTTAAATCATTTTCATTTTGGTTAAACAAAATTAATTGTTTACAACAATTCAAGATATCCTCGTTGGTCCTATTTTGCTCATATGAAAGTGATTGGCGTGGGGATACTCCAGGGGCATGTGTTATATCAATATGAAGAAGCCCACAAGAACACGTTTACGCAAAACGAAACGCGTATTATCGCGAATAAAGGCGAAGAAACGCGGAAAAAAGCGTAATATCACAAAAAAGGCGCAATTACGTTAAACAAAAGGCGAGCAAATAAAGGTGTAATGACGCTTAAAAAGGCGTGATAACGCGAATCAAAAGGCGTTATTACGCAAAACGAAAGGCAAAGTTACGCAAATAATTAGAGGTTAATACTTGGTTGCTGCACGTCATTATGCGACAATGTCCCGATGATGTACATAATGGTCTGAAGGTTTAACGTCTTTAATACTTATACCGGAAATATGGCGTTCAAATACACCGCTAATCTTGCTTGTCGCCCTTATAAGAAACGGACAGCTGTCAATGTAAACAAATATCTGTCATTCAGTTTAAGCCTCCGTTTAACTAAAACAAAATGATAACGCAAAATGAAAATGAAAAAATATGTTTTATTGTTGTTTATATTGATAAATACTCTTTGTACTCGTAATAACGTTAAGTGCTAGTTTTTTAAGATCTGCTTTTAAAAACGGTTCTGATGATGTCAAATCATAAATCTAGCTCTAAATGCCCCGAACTTTTCCTTGTCTTGTTTATGGAATCTGGCCTTTGGATTCACGTTATTACGCCGTTGTGGTTCGCGTTATAAAGTCAAGGTCATTGTGTAAGGGAAAGGTCAAAATTACCTTAGTTTGGGCAATTTGATTTTTTTCATGATTTTAAATGCATCATAACTGATAGTGAACAAGAATTCCAAGTGCCTACAGAAACTATTGCCTTGTTCATTTTTGCGGTCAATTAAAACAAACTTGTACACTATTCAGTGTATTACCCTCCTATATTCATACATCATATCACGATTTGAATAAAATCTTGTTGCTGCCGTTATTATTAAAGTTCTGAATTCTTATGCTACCATAAGATATTACTATAAAATATAAATCTGGTTGGCGTTATTTCTTTTCTAACCATAAACAATATGCATCTAGCAAGGGGCGTCCGTGGCCGAGTGGTTAAGGTCGTTGACTTCAAATCACCTCTGTGGGTTCGAATCCCGACAGGGACTTTGGATTCTTTCATGTGAAGAAGCTATCCAGCTAGCTTACGGAACGTCGGTGGTTCTACTCAGGTGCCCGTTCGTGGCTAAAATATGCACGGAAGGGCACCTGAGGTCTTCTTCCACCAGTAAAGCTGGAACGACGCGATATGACCTATACTGTGTCGATGTGACGTAAAACCCAAAAAACAAACAAACAAAGCATCTAGCAAAAACAAACAGAAGCGTTGGTAGAGCCTCGTTACCTCTTTAAATAATAACCCCTAGCGAGAACTTCTGTCTTTACTGGCAACCAGTGTATCTACATTTTACATATAATAGTTACCATGCTTGTGTCTGATATTAAAAAGTTTATCAGGCAAGACTAATAAAAAAAGGAATGGTGGGGCTCTACCGTGCCCTTCATTATTTTCGTGCCGAGCCTGGTAAATTTATAATCTCGGAAACTTGTTTGGTATTCGTATTTATCGTGTTTTCAATTTAAGTATACAGTTCTTTCTTAAAATTTAAGATGAAACAAAAACTGTCAAGAACCTCTTGAGTTCATTCCGCGCGCAGTAATATGCCAAGGATCATATCTATAAGAAATAGTCACAACTGTTATAGTCAAATGTAAGAGAGACTGTAAAATTCAAAAATTCTATTCGTTTGGAATTTTATCAATTTAATATTTTTAAATTTGTTACTAGTAAAAATATTTCATTCTCTTCATTTTATTTCAATATGTATAGATGAAGTGTCTGATAAAGCTGAGGGTGACTTATCAGGCATACACTTTATCAACAGAAATCAATGAAATGACACGCTAAAATATTATCACTACACAGGAAACTGGTGGTCGATTGTTAGTCGGGGCAATAGATTTCGGAACGTCATATTCTGGTTGGGCATTCTCTTTTAAACATGAAAATAAAAGAAGTCCCCCAGGTGCAACCGTTAAAATTTGGGATGCAGGAACGATAACCACAGAGAAAACACCGACGTGTTTATTGCTGAAACCAGACGGAACATTTGATTCATTTGGCTATGATGCAGAGAAGAGATATGGAGAGCTTTCAGCCAAACATCTACACTCGAAATACTTCTTCTTCAGGCAGTTTAAAATGAAGCTCTACGAACCGTATGGAAAGGTCTGTAATTAGTATGAAAGTTAATTGCTATAACTCTCCCAAATATATGATATGCACAAGTATTTGTACGATACAGGTAATGCAATTTGTAAATGAAAGTAAAACTACAAGAAGCAAACCATAATCTAATGATACATATGCAATGCGAACGAACTACTGTTAGAGAAAGTCATTATTCTATTTCATTCATTGTTGTATTTTTACAAGGGTATTAAAAGGGACATGATGATACATGATGAAATTGGCCAGCAGTTTTTGGCCATAGACGTGTTTGCAATATCGTTGAAATACCTGGTTAAGGATATGATGGAAACTGTAAATCAGCGAACAGTAGGAGAATTGTTACCCCCTGATATCGGCTGGGTATTAACAGTTCCTGCAATATGGTCGGATGCATCGAAGCAGTTTATGAGAGAGGCGGCGATAAAAGTTAGAATTTTAATTTCATATGTATGTTTCTTTGAGATATATTCATTAACAGATACCTGAAAATCTCCTTTGTAAGGTTTTACCGTCAGTATGTTTTCCCCATTGATTTTGCAATTTTTATACGATTTGAAAACTGTTTCAGTTTATGAAGATATAGAGGATATTTGTTTGTTTGTGTGTAAGATGAAATTTATTTCATCAAGTGGGCTTTAAAAACAGTATTCTCACGAGTGCGTAGCCACGAGTGAGAATACTGTTTTTAAAGTTCACGAGATGAAATAAAATTACATCTTACACAACAAACAGACAAATTTTCTTTTTAATGTTTTAAAACAAGTTAAAACGAAATTTCCATAATTTTAACATTAATATTAAAATCTGTTTCCCCAATTGAGAGCCCCATTTAGAGGGAATTTCTCATTAAAAACAAGAAGTCTTGAGCTGAAAAATAAGTCCGCCAATCAAGGTTAAATGACGGTGATATTTATTCATTTTATTAAAAAATATGAATGATGCTTGTTTTAATAATAAAAACAAACAATTCTTGTAGGAGAAAAAGTCCAACCATCCATCCATATTTCTGTTACTTACTACGAATTTATATTAGACCTGGCTTTGTAAAATGTAAGCGGCAGCCATTTTTTAAAGTTGTGTATTTCACGGGAGGAAAATAATTGTGTAAGATTCAGGATATAATTTGGATTTGCTAGTCATACACCTTTTTAAAAGAAAGAAAACTTATTTGAGGATTGTAACAGACAAAAAATAAGTGTTGACAGAAGTGAAAACATTCAGAAAAGGAGCTAGGAAAATGGAAAACTTGGAAGCTTGCTAAGGCATTGTAACTGTTGTAAGGAACGCTGGGTTATTTACTTATTTTACGAGTGATGGCTGTCAATGCTTTTCAATTTTTCATAAAGCATACGGCAGTTATTGCTCGTAGGATACTTTAATATGCCCAAATGTCATCAAGAGCAGTTTAGCATGGGGAAGGAATGTATTTTTCAGACTGTAAAAACGAAACAAAAAAATTTAGAGACGAAATTTTGTGATTGGAATTTGAAGGAATAGAAGAAAGTTTTCTCTCTTTATTACTTTTGACATTTAAGTTACTTATCTATTTCAGCTTTGCTATTTTTTTAACAGCCTGATATTGTCAGAATTGTCAGTAAAAATAAAATTGAGGTACCACATGAGGAAAATCTTAAAAAAGTAGTTTCGTCATTGAAAAAAGTGAAATTATATTTTGATATTTTTCACTGTGAAATTATCAAATATAATTTTAGCGGATAAATCAGTAATCCACTGAAAAGCATAAAATAAACCGTTATTATAATCAGTATGTTTGTGTTACCTGGAACATTTACACAAAGTTATCATTTCTTAATTGTTTCAAACTAAAAATTGAGAATGACTCTATTTAGAAATGCATGTACGTCTCTTTATGTGTCTAAATATAAATTCTGGAAACAATTTAACTCTATTTATTACGGGCGGGAATAGACGAGGACCAGCTGAGTATTGCTCTGGAACCCGAGGCAGCTTCAATATATTGCCGCCATTTACCAATAGCTGCATCAGCAAATGAGACAATTTCAAAGCTTCCAGCTGGTACCAAATATATTGTTCTAGACGCAGGAGGTATTAAAAATTATTTCACAATGATTATCTTGGAATGACTTTCAAAATATGTCTCTGTCAGTATAGCTTTTTTGATATCTTCATAGTCGGCGTATGGAACTTTCCTCTTCTTTTGTATTTATAGATTTATCAACTGAAAATATAACTCAAACCAGATGTTTAAAAGCAGTTTGAAGTAAACAAAGTTTTCAAAAATAAATATTTTAGAAAAAAAATCATCTTTGTATTTTTTGAGTGTCGATATCACAGTTCACGAAGTACAAGAATCTAACACGCTTCGAGAAGTTAGAGCAGCGAATGGTGGTGCTTGGAGTGGAACTATGGTAAACAAAGCATTTGAAGGTTTTTTAAGTGATATTGTGGGTGAAATAGCATTAAAGTCTTTTATGAATGATAAAACAGAAGATTGGCTTTACATGTCACAGCAATTTGAAGCAAAGAAGAGAGCTATTGAAATCAAATCACCGAGGTACATCACCTTGCGTTTACCTGTGGCTCTGATTGAATTATGTGAAAAGTACAATGGAATGCAGTTTCAGGATGCGGTTGCCGCTTCAAAGTATGCTGAAATAGTTGAGATGGATCGTGAAAAACTCAAACTCTCAAAAGTTGTGTTTTTCTTTATGTTTGAGCAAACGTTACAAAAAACTGTAGATCATGTAAAGTTTCTATTTAAAGACACAAGTATCCGAGATATTGATATCATCCTTATGGTTGGCGGATTTTCAGAATCTCCATTACTGCAGCAAGCATTAAAAGAAGCTTTTCCAAATAAAGAACTAGTCGTTCCATCAAACTCCTCGTCTTGTGTACTTCGGGGCGCTTTAATGTATGGCCATAGTCCTTTGACGATAAGCGAGAGAATTCTCAAGTATACTTACGGCGTTGCATGTCTTGCTGAATTTAGAGAAGGTTATCACCCAGAAAGGAAGAAAATAAGAACAGATGATAGGATATACTGTGAAGATGTATTTGGAATTTATGTGACAAAAAACACAAGGGTAAAACCAGGCAAAACTCAAGTAACAAGACGTGGTAGGAGTATTTCAAGATATCAATGTGAAACGCGCTTTAGATGTTTCATATCTGAAAGCACACATCCACAGTATGTTGACGAAGTCGGCTGCTTTCACATTGGACAATTATCTATACAATTTGACCAACCTGACAGCAATGTAGGACGAGAAGTAGCTTCCTCTATGTCATTTGGAGGAACGGTAATAACCATTGAAGCAGAAGACCAAAAAACAGGAGATAAAACCAGGGCAGTTCTAGATTTTCTAGGATAATAACTGAGATTGATTCATTATAATTTGCAAGGATGTTACTAAGTTACTAATGGTACTTAAAATAGACCTAAGTCCCAGGTTCCAAAAATTACAAAAGTGATATAAATTCAAATGATAAATGAACACATATATTTTGGTACATGTACTTACAATTTGTTCAGGGTATTGTTTGCATGCCCTTTACTTGCAAAAAGAAGTTAAGATAATGTATTTCAAAAAGTTTTACAACTAACTCGCCATTATTTACTTAAACCAACCACACAGTTCTGTAACACTGACTCTTTTTGACTTGTGTTATCCATGATAGTTACTCGTGAGCCTTTTTATATAACATTAAAATTCCATTTGTATAATAAACATATTGATAAACCTTTGAGTGATGGATCTGTAAAATATATATATATATATTTCAATTGTTTATTATAATGTGTTTTAATGAAAACATCCTAGTTATGTTTAACGACAAATATGTCTTTTATTGGTAAGATAAAGCACGGACTTTAATCACGGACTTTAAATCCGTGGATAAAGTGACTAATTCTTTTATTGAATTCATTGTTCAATTTATTTATTTAAATGCTTCAATGTGACTGCCGTGTCGCAAACTTACCATACAGTGTTATTTTCTTATATAAGCGTGACCTCTCTTGAATAAACGCAATCAAACTGTCTACAATTTTCACCATTTCATTTTATGTCATATTATGTCATTGCTCTTGGGGTATCTCCCCATTCTCACAGCAGCAGGTAGTAAGTTCTCTGACGCATCCCTGTACCTCATTTTAGTGTTTTTTGTGTGTGTTTCTTTTGTTGTTGTTTTTTTTTTATTGTTTTTTTTTTCATTTCATTTTCGAGGTCATTAGTTTGTTACGGTAAAGAATACGCCTACCTTATAACTATAAATACAACATATGATAACTGAGTTAGGGAATTGAATAATAGGCTGAGTAGTCTAGAGTTAAGTTATTTGGAGATCGCAAGCCCCGACGTTTCCCAATAGTTTCAATTCATGTGGATATTGAATCAAATTAAGTCTATATGAAATAAACAGTTGCCTCACTTAGGTTTAAAGTTACTGATAGTAAGAAAGGTTATTTCGTGGTGTGATCCCCGAGTGTCTATGTGCGAGATTAAGAGATTAATACACGGCAGAGTAGGGCCGGAAGGCGATAATCGGCCCGCAAAATGAATAATGGCCCGAGGGCTTCAGCCCGAGGGCATTATTCATTTCAGGGCCGATTATCACCTTCTGGCACGACTATGACGTGTATTAATGTCTTTAATACACTTGGTAGATCTAATAGTAGCATTTTTCTGGAAAAAATACTTTAATATTTCTTTCGTTGAAATTCCTGTCTGCATACTCTAACTCTGTATTATCGGCGCAATGAAATTGAATGCAGACATATAGGAAAAGTTAAGTACGCCGATAATACGGAGTCCCATGCTAGATCTACTTATAGATCTACTATACAGTTACTTCTACAGAGTTGCTTACTTTTTATTACGTGTGCAAATTTCAAAATTTCATTTTTTTCGGAATGAATTTGTCGTATTATTTCTTTAAATTTCAATAGATAAAAAACTGTGTTTGTACGAAATAAGCTTAAGCTCTGACAATAAAATCAAGCCATTCGTGCTAAAAACCGACTTTCACTTTCACAGTTAACTGTTTGATGACGTAAAATCTAACATCATTGTTTCAGTTTGTGCACGTGCATTAGTTCTACGGGCTGATAATTAGTTCTCGGCCCCGGGCCGCAAACTTATAAGAGGTCACATGACACTCATATCAGTTAAAATCATGGGCAATTTTGTTACTATATATAGTAACAAGTGTATTAAATTGTAATATTTTCATAAGCTAATCTTCCAGGAACACATGCACTCAGTCAATCAAACCGAGTCTGCACTTTTTATATTCGTTTCCATATGTCTCAACGAAGCTTGCATAACACATGCTAAATACATATTGGTTTACAAGTGTTAGTAAGGATGATTTTTCATGCTAATCAGTGACATAATAGGTTTATTTGTGTGATGAAATCTATATCACCATTACAATATTTCATCCAGAGCGCGGGTGATAAAGCAATGCCGAACTTTTTCTGGCATACGTTTCAATTTTTATGATTCCGTAAATTCGCAAATTTACATAAAAGTTTATTGTTGCATTTTGTCCTAAATGGTACATTTCTAGATTCAAATAACATTACGAGGGTTGTTCAAATATGAATGGAACTAGGCCAATATCTCGCTATTAACCACATTTTGCACGACTTATGTACATGTGTAGCACAGATGGTTGTGTAAGCTCTCAATTGTTACAATGCATGTGTAAATCAGTCCAGTCTAGCTTTGACAAAGCTCGATTAACGCTGAGATACTCGTGTAAACTAAAGCTAAATTGGTTGGAAAAAGGTCTCCTTTCACTGACCAAATACGGTCCTATATCAAGAACAGCTGTATTCGTGGTATACAGGCGAAAGACATATTTAATGAAATATGTCGTGTATTACTGTATTACGGGAACAATGAACCTTCTTTTTCATCTGTCACACGGTGGTGTAAGAAACTTAAAAGTGGTGTGGATTCAGTAAAAGATGCACCTCATACACGCCGTCCGAAAACTGCAACTTTGCCAAAAATGGTTGAAAAGATAAATGATTTGATTGCTACTGATGCTAGATTTACAACTAGGTATATAGCTAAATGATTGATATCTCTGTAGGAGCCGCTCATACAATGCTCAGACATGATTTAAAAATGAGAAGGATAAGTGCTAGATGGATACCCTATCTCCTTACAATCAAGGTCCTGCTATTCAAATTGCCGTACCAAAAGGTAAATCTGTAAATGCCAAAGTTTAATCAAGGCGAGGTTCTTCATAAATTAAAGAAATATTTCAAAAACCGACCAACAACTGGTCTCCTTGGTGTCAGGTTTGTTGCATGACAATGCTTCATCTCACAAAGAGGCCATTGTACGAGAATATCTGTTATATGAAACAGGAAAAGGTTGTCGAGCTTCCTCACCATCCTTATTTCCTTGTGACTTTCTCCTACTTCCGAGGCTCAAAAAACACCTTGCTTGAAGAAAATATCAAACGCGAAAAAATATCGTTTCGGATCTTTTTCAGTGTCTGAACAGTATACCTCGAAAAGATTATGAAAACGCATTTAAAAATTTGATAAAAATACTAAATCTTTGTATATCACATGGTGGTGGGCAGACCTGCATCAGTACTAAGGGTGTAGTACTTAATTACCAGTATCAGTACTTGCCAAGTTATGCAGTACCATTACCAGTACCAGTACTATATAGATTTTAGCTAAATTAGTGTTTATCTTGCCTTTTCTTTACTAGTAAACTGATGAAATTTATATCAAAAACAAAGTACTGCCAGTTAATGCTGTAGCAGTACCACTTTTTAAGACAGAAATGCAGTACCAGTAGTGGCAACATTTTGTAAGAGTAATTCAGTACATGTATCAGTACCAGTACTTGCAAAATCACTGCAGTATGTACTGCAGTACCAGTAACAGTATCAGTAATGCAGCTCTGTAACACCGCACTTTGGGGTCAAACGCACTTTGGGGTCCGACCCCAAAGTGCGTTAAACTTCGCACCGCACTTTGGGGTCCAACGCACTTTGGGGTTAAAATCGAGAAATTGACCACAAAGTGCGTTAATATGCTACATATCAACGCATTTTAAGTTCAAGAGGTCTAAAAGTGTCATCTGAGTTCTGCTCAGATACTCAAAACTGACTTATTCTATTTGCAACATTTGAATATTTGAGGTGGAATTCAAGATGGCGGTTAATACTTTATGATGCTTAAGTGATAAAAGTTTCATTAATTTTACCACTTGAAATATCTAAAAATTGTGTTCATATAACAAAATTACGGTGGCATAAAAGTGACATTTGCATTTTTTTTGTTTTTAGTTTTGTATACTTATTTTATTTTAGTTTTGCATACATTTTTTTCAGTTTTGCATACATATTTTTTTAATTTTGCATTCATATTTTATTTTTGTTTTTCGTACATATCTTATTTTTGTTTTCCATACATATTTTAGCCAATAAAAACAGCCTTAAAATATCATAACAGCCTATAGGTGATTATAAAACTAGCACAGTGGTTTGGTCACATTTCGATCCATTTTTGGAATCGGCCCAGTCGTTTTCGGCCGGGCAAGTCTGGTTTCGGCCGACCCTTTTCGGCCCATTTTTTATATTATATGCATTTTATATAATTATTGTTTTTATTATTATATACTATTATATTACTGTCTATTTGGAAAGGGCTGTTGATTGGTGATCAGTTATTATTCCATGAATTTGCACCACTCCCTTAGAATTGAGAATTATAAAACGTAGGTCAATTCTTTAGCACATCCAGATAATGTGCAGAACTTATATGCCAGGTGTGCCGGCTCAAGGTCGGGGTCACACCTTCAGGTCAAAGGATAAAGACTTGGGTTTCATGTCCGCTCCTTATCTCCGAAACCCCATGAAGGATTTTAAGGCACCTTTTGACAAATGTTAACAACATCGAGACCAAATGCAGAACCATTCTTTGGCTTACTGCGAACTGTATATTTATATATATATACTAAAAAGTGTTGTTATTTCTTGATACCTCCAAAAATTAAAATATTGGTATTTGAAAATGGCATTTGCAAATGAGGTACTGTAATTTACATATGGCGAAGCGTTTAAAAATGGTGTTTTACAAATGGTGTAATTATCCAAACCTCTACTTTGCAAATGGCGTCATGTAAAAATATGTAACAAAATAAAATATGTACAAAAAAAACTAAAATAAAATCACTTTTATGCCACCGTTCAAAATACTCTAGTACTGAAATTGTGCATTCCTAGAATTAAAAGATGCTGCGAAAAATATCCCGTTTTGTCGGTCATTTACTTGATAACTTTTGGTGCTCCATTTTAAATATGTTGGGAATGAAATAAAATGTAGTTAATATTTTTTCCAAAGAACTATAAATATACTCTATTGCAATGTTCTGGTGAAACATCAAGTTTTTCGATCGGACTATAAAAAGTGCTTTTAACAAAAAACATTATTAAGCTTATCAACAAACTTAAGGGTTTTTGTAAGCTCCGTAACAACCGTTCGACAGAGGCTTTTTTATGGTAAATCTTACATACTTCTTTAGAAATAACAAACATGAATTTTATAATGTTAAAAAAATGGTATCTGAGAAATGTAAGATGCTTGTTACCTGAATAAAGTAGCGATAAATGTGAAATTATTTGTCATAAAAGAAGTCAAAACACTGTAGTATTTCACTTCCCTATAAAATACTAATTCACTATAACTGTACTCATCATTGCCAAAAAGCAACAAAT